ACTAACATTTTCGTCCATACAGAGAGCAGCACTTGCCCACACAATCTATCCCTGACGTTCGTCACATGACAGTCAAACCGATTTGTTTTTTTTAATCAGAGTTGCAGTGTATCGTAAATTTATTGCAGAGCAAATATAATGTTTTCGTATGCAGTCATTGGTGACTGAGCTGAGATCGTCAACTCGCTACACTTGAGAAACCGGTACCATCTCAGCACTCTGAGCCACCTGGCGACTTGTCAAAGACGTTTTATTTTCACTAAATATTTTTTTTCTATTTTATGAGCACTTGATGGTGCTGTCCTCTATTGGCTATCCCTGAGCCGCATTCTGAATGTGGGGGTCACTTAATCCATCGGAAAAGTACAAACAATAAAATAGTGAAATGGCTTTCCTTCAACCATAGATTTTTTTTTATAAGGCCCTTCCTCCATTTATTGCCAGTTTCCAAACGGAAATGCCTAGTTTGGATTTTAAAGCCTCCGGTATTTCCTCCCAGTCGTCAGGATCATAATTGCATTACTTTAAGGCAGTCAGTGAAAGTGTTGTTTTAGGCAGGCATGGTAGAATATCACCTGCTTTTATTTCAGGGTATTTGTTCTTGAGCTCACTGCATGAGTAGCACACACGCACGGGCGCTGCAGCTACGAATACGTATGCTTTATATTTGGAAAGGTCAGCATTAGTGTTAACATATGGATGTTTGAGGCAGGAGTAATGTCTTGTTTACTGTACGGGACAGAGAGATGGACTGTAACAAAGCGGCAAGAGAAGAAGTTTCTGGCCTTTGGATATAGGTTCACGCACGCAGAATGCTAGGAATTTCTTGGAAGGATAAGCTAAGCAACTCAGACGTTTGCAAAAGGACGTGACAAGAACGTGATGTTGATAGACTCAGGACCAGAAGGTTCTGATAGTTGCGTGTGCATTATAGAGGAGGGCATATTGAACGTCTTTCACACCATACGTTGCCTACCATGATAACCGGAGGTGCGGGGGGAAGGATAACAAACTCAACACAAGAAGCAGTTCAGAAGAAATTAGTTTTCAGTCTAGATGATTTTAAAAGAGCTTAGCTCCCGTGGATTTCTAATATCGGGAGGAAGAGCGTTTCTGACGGCACACAGATGAGGGCAACGAAGAGGGGCATCTTCAGTCAGATGTTAGAGTATTGTAACACTAAGCCTTGGAGGTGGAATATTAAGTTCGCAACATATTCTTAGGTTTTTTTCGGTAAAGTCACGTAGGTAAAACATTAAAATTAATAAAAGTAAAATAAAATAAAAATCACGACGTTTCGGAGGCAACACAAGCCTCCGTTTTCAGGTGGAACCGTCACAGCCACGACAGCTGTATCAAGTAAATGTCGTGATTTTTATTTTATTTTACTTTTATTAATTTTAATGTTTTACCTACGTGACTTTACCGAAAAAACCTAAGAATATGAATCCTTGCAGTCACGAAAGCTTCAAATCTAAGTTCGCAACAATTGCGGGGTCTAGCAGAGAGAATAAATGTGGTAACACTGCCCGTGAGCGTGTTGATCTTGTGACCTTAATTTCACCTTGATTTTGTTTAAATGTACTCATCCCGCACAGAGCTCCCGGGCACCAGGTTTTATCCGCGGAGATGTTGTTCGTATCAACATCGCAATTGTGAGGCAAATAAAGTGAGGCAACTGACTTCGCGTACAAGTGGGTGCTGAGGGTATTCAAGCCGATAGCAGAGTTTGGTAATAAAGCACCCACAGCCTTGGAGGCTGCCAGTCATTGGCAAATCACTGAGCCATCACACTCTGGTGCAGTTGTGAGTACATTAATAATAATAACAAATATTTTACTTATTTATCCAGGAAAGCTGCACTGAGTCATATAACGCCTTGTCAGGAGGGTCCCGCATTGGATTTTCAACTTGAATATTTCTTCAGGCAATTCACGAGTGATTCAACGCATTGGAGGAAACCGGGGCACCGTAATACAAATCCCACCTTGAGAGAGAGTAACACTCTCCCCCCCGTACAGCTGGAAACAGAGGTCGATTAGTCCACATGCTGTAGTGCCTTCTCTTGGGTGAGCCAGGGTATGACACCTCGACACCCACGGCGAAGGGAATTTCACAGCACGTTTGCTGTATCACTTGATACAGCAAACGTGCTGTGACGGTTCCACCTGAAGACGGAAGCTTGTGTTGCCTCCGAAACGTCGTGATTTTTATTTTATTTTTATTTTACTTTTATTAATTTAAATTAAATTTTTTACCTACGTGACTTTACCGAAAAAACCTAAGAATATGAATCCTTGCAGTCACGAAAGCTTCAAATCTAGAATTTGTGATCTACCAATCCTCGCTGCCTCCACAGCGCTGGATCGCAGGCCACGCACAGCGGCATGGCCACCACCGCCCATGATATCATGACTGGATTCGTCTTAATTAATTGTTCGATCTATTGCAATGGTTAACATTAATCTGGCACCTGTGCCATTAGCTGCGTGCATCTGTGCAAATTTGTGTAAATCTGCGTAAAGTTGTGTTATCATCGTCATCACGAATTGTATGTATATTGAACTTATTTCGCACAGTACGTAGCCAATCGTACTTATGGCCATATTGTTCATTGACTGCAGGATAAAAACCTCCCCACACCATTGCCGTCCCCCATGGTCCACTGTTAATGCCATCAAGTGAGATGGATGGTAGCAGCACTGGTAAAGTTGTTGATGTTGTTTGAACTGTACATTGGCCAAGACACACTGAGTCTCAGGACTGTTTCTCAGGAGAGTTCTGCTTGGGATATTTGGCCAGGCACCCTGCTGATGTCCTCTCATATTGCAAAATTACACTTGGAGCAATTGGCAAAACATTCCAAGCTTCCAAGGGCTTTCCTAGTTAAATGGTAACGGTGAAAGTTGTCTCCCCGCTTAAATAAGCATGGTGGCACAATCGCCAATGTGTGGCAATTCCACATTATTAGGACAGGGGCCGTTTTCTCTGGAGGATAATCATATTTTATTGACCGGCAGGGGTTGTCGGCTAAATAACAATTCTCGTTGGAATGATATATTTTTGCCTGTTTATGGAAATCCTCGAGAAACTAATAATTGAATGTGTCGTTAAACCCGCCACTCAACACAGCCAATTAGTAAGGTTTGTCACGTAAACAAAACCCACAACATTTACAAATTGTAAATGTAAATGTTGTGGGTTTACTCTCCACCACACCGGTGTGCTGAACTAGTAACTAATTTGCACGTTTTGTTTACATGACAAACCTTACTAATTGGCTGTGTCGGGTGGTGGCGAATTTAACGACACATCGAACCAAAAAAAACCCTTTATTCTGGATGATAACCGTGTGATCCACCCATCCTATCTCTGGTCCAGAGCACTCGATTTCTGGCCTGTGCCACTTCACCGCGGCTGCCACGAAGAGAATCCTTGCGCGATGTGCCAAAACCGATGCGGCGTGGGGAGGAGGCTGTGGGATCGGTGGGGCCCATGGCGGGGTTCCTGCCTAAACACCCCCCTTGCTCCTTCCCTACCCGGAGCCCCTAACTCTCTGCACGCCCATCCCCTTGCTTGCACACGAGCCTTGCCAACTTGAACCGCTGCACACACATACACACTCGCGCAGCGAGCGTGCCCGAAATCCGTTTCCAATCACTGGGCCCGTTTCTTTTTGTTGTTGTTCTCTCTTTTCCTCGTAAACCAGAGCCGCTCTCTTTCAGCCACGTGTGAAGGCTGTGCTGCGCCTGTTGTGTTTTTACTTTTGGTTTTGATTTAGATTTTTACAAACAAATGGATAAAAAAACTCAATTGGTTTTCGCCCAAGCGTGCAATTGAGTGATGTTTCCTGTTGCCTTTGGGGTACATGCACAATCCACTGCTTGATGAGGGCCTCCCCACACTATCCAGGTTGTGGGGGTTACTTGACCATACTAGAGGTTGACTTAGAAGTTGACATTCATAAATAAAGTTAGGGCACCCATGGCAATAATAGTAATGATGATGATTGTCTATTACCCATGAATCGTGGATGAGTTTCAAGAGTTTTATAGATGGTTCTGCATTGAAATGTTTGGCACAATTCTTGAAGGGAAACTGCACATAGAAGACATTGCCATTGCTGTACGACCTTATCTTGGCCACCTATTAGCCTATTAGCCCCCCTTGAAAGTCGGGCGTAATAAATCCATGGACTCCACATAATCCACCAACTCCATCTCCAAAGTGCGGAGTTACGGGCACGTACCATGCTCACCCCTGACAAATGTACATATTTTAAAAGTTGATAATAAAAACAACCAGTGGCTATTTAAGGTATATTCTTCATGTAGTAAAAGTATTGCCCCCATGATATATATAACAGTAATGTAGGTTCAGCATCACAGTATAACAGAATGAAAATGTAATGCCGTATGATGAAATTTTAATATTACTTTATCATAATCGTTCAGTGTTTCACGTAATATTTGTTTTCATCGCATGTTAATGCACACGCTTTATACTTTGCAAATAATAGTATTTCGTCTTTTCTTTTTTAAACAGGACACTTGCCCAAAAGGAGTTCCCATTTCTTTGGGATCCCATTGCCTTGCTCATATGACGAGCACAACACGGAGAGACAGTTGTGGGAGTTGGAAGGCATCATAATTCCGGAGTGGCCCACAAAGACATGATCAGGAGTCAGACCACGAAGGGTTTCAACAATACGAAGCGAACGGAATCGCATGAGTATTTGCAGGTGATCGGGGGAACGGGCAGGAGGGGCTTAATGATAGGTACAATGTGTTGAGGAAAGGATGGTAGGGGAGCCGAATGGTTGAGCCGCATTGAGGGGGGGGGGGGAGAGGAAGAGAGGGGAGGGCCTGGGGTGTTGGGTTTGGTTGGGGGAGGGGGGCGGGTTAGTAAGGGCTGGGAAAAATTCAGCATTTTTCCCGAAGAAAGGAAATTGCCTTAAGTATTTCTTGCAGAGCAGAGGTAATTTCTCGTCGGTGCGGCTGTGTTCCTGCATCGTTGTGGGCGTCCGACCAATGGAAGAAACTGAAGTTACGGCACTAAAACCACTACGTTTTCAGTGAACGGTACAGTGCTGTATTTATTTTTTGTCGGCAACTGGTATTTTCAAGTGCTACCTCAAACTATACGCAGTGTATACAAACGGTAGCTAAGAATTTAAACAGTTGTTGAAACGTGTGCGCATTCATGTGAATGCATGTGCAGTGTCCGTTTCAGGATTCCGCATAGAGTACATGTAAAAAAACGACCGCGCGTATATATGTGCGAGCTATGAAAATAAAGTGGGGTTGTGGTTTTGGCTATTTTTTTTAAAAAACTTAGTTTTTTGACTTTCCGAGTGGAACTGCAGTGTGTTTTGTCAAACCGCCCACTTCAAGAGAGTTACACGTACGCATGCATCAACTTCCTCTGCCAGTGGACAGCATATGCCGCTGCGTAGCGTGTGGCTCTCCACTTTTTTTTTCCAGAAGACGGAGACCGCTTAAAAGCCCGAAGGCAGGCAGCAATCGTGCCGAAACCGCCAACATGAAGACCACCCAAAGGACCGGTTAAAAGACAGCGGGTTGAGACAACGGCTGAATTCACTGCGTACAACAAAAAAACATTTTCGTCAACAAAACAAACAAAAAATTCCAAGTTGGATTCAAGACGAACCACTTCAGTGACCACAGCAGCGGCACGATTTTCAACATCGCATGGATTAATCACGACTTGTAAATGTTAGGGATATTCTGCACTTAGTTTTTCTACAGTGACACGGCGTAGCTGCTTGCGGAGCGTTTAACGTGGATCGAGGATTCATTCACCGAGCCTTGTGAATCGATTGATCTGGGCTGCAGATTTTGACCGAGGGCCGAACGGGACGAGCGCGGCTTTTGGATTCTCGGCGACCTGCGCGCTCCTGCCCTGACGTCCCCTTTAGCGTGCGAGGCCGGCCATGGGGTGCAGATCCAGCATTGTGAGCGCGGAGAAGGAAGCTGGGAGGAGGACAGGGGTTCCTGGGACACCCCCCACGGCCTCCGCTACCCGGGGATGGGGACCGAGGGATCCGGACCGCACCGATGAGGGCTCATCCAAGGCACAGGTACTTTGTGACTGTGTGTGTGTGTACCGGTGTTAATGTGCACGCGTGAGTGTACGTTAAAGCAAAAAAACTGTGTCATGTATGGAGAGCGGTGGCGCAGAGGTATGTGCACTGTGCTGCTGAACCCGGCGACCCGAGTTCGATTCCAGCTCACGGCCGACAACGGTGACCAATTTTATGACCTGGTCCTGGGCTTCCCCTTGGTTGACCAAGCCTCCAACGAGCGCCTAGTGTGGTGTATATTAAACATTGGCACTGGGGAGAAACAGGCGGCTGGGCATGGTGCTGGCAACCAACCCCCCTTCGTATACCAGCGCAGCCTTCATAGGTGCTCTCTAACAGCACTTTCCCCAAGAGCCTGTTAAGTCTGCACAGGGGATCTTTGTCTTTGTATGCAGTGTAATTTGATGTAACGGTTAACACTCCGGACTTGCAATCCAGAGTTCGCTGGTTCGATCTCCTGGCACGGCAGTTGAAGCGTTGGAATTTTTGTCATATCCCATCCAGCAGTATATCACAAAAGGGTAATAGGTCTCGGTTCGGTGAGGTGTGCATAACTCCCACCTCTTCTTGGTTCTTTCGGTGAAGTCACGTAGAAGGAAAATAATAAAATAATGAAAATAAAACTTAATTATTTTACTATGTTTTATTTTTATTATTTTATTATTTTCCTTCTACGTCACTTTACCGAAAGAACCAAGAAGATGAATCCCTGCAGTCACGAAAGCTTTAAATCGAAACTCCCACCTCCTCCAAGATGTCTAGAGTAGACCAAATACCACGTATGTCTCCTTCGAGTGGATTCCTTTCCGCCAACGGTTGCGTGAGCGAACAAGCAAGTTGCAGGGTTGCGCCTTTGCCTTTGAACCGAGAACGCACGCTCGTGCTCTGCTCGTGTTCCGCGCGGTGACTTGGGCCACCGGCGCCGTTCGCACGTCGTGCGTGCCAATCTGAGCATCGCTCAACTTCCACTGGACAGCGGGTTCCTGGCATTCAGATCTGGTCATCGATTTGAAAATGGTTACTGGTTTAGCGGTTGTCGTTTAACAGCCACGGTATATATGCACGTGTTCATCTATATAGCTGGAGGTTCAGCATTCCATTCCAAATGCTATAATACTCTTGTTTTTGCTTGCATTTCAATACAGGGAACAAATGTTTATGATAACGCTGAGGCCATCATATCATTACTTATGCCCAACATGCCTGATTTATGTTTTTGGTTAATTTGACGTGTACGTTGATGTGCGTGTGTTTATAGTGGGAGCGGTAGTGTAGTGGTAAGCGCACAGCGCACAGCGCTACGAACTCAGCGACCCAAGTTCGGTTCCCGCTCACACCCAACATCGGTGATGACTATCTGAACCAAACGTAGACTTCCTCTCGATTGATTGACTCGGCTATAAATAATGAGCACACGGTGCACTGTTTAAACATTAGCACGGGCGGGACAAAGGCGGCCGGGTGTGGTACTGGCCACCCACCCCCCTCATGCTTGCTCTCAGCACTTGCCCCAATAGTCTGATATTGGCTCTATGTGGGGAGCGTTGTGTTCGTTTTCATTGTATATGTATGGATGCGATTACCTTTTTACAGTATGTATGCATGTGCAACGTGTTCCATATTTGTTAAAGGTTGAGACAACGTTGTATATGATTGCACAGATAACAATCCCTCGTGTGTACACATTTGTATCGGGCAGTTTCAGAGGAAAGGTCGTGGAAAGTTGAATATAACCACAGGTCAATGATCCTGTTCCCTTTAATTCTGAATCTGCAGGCACTGGCAAAAACTCTGCCGTCACGTTGACTCACTTCCCTGGTAGAGATGAAACTAACAAAAAAATTACCAGTATTGTTTCGTGAGTGGGATTCCGTGCATGGGGAAATTTGAGAATTCAGAGAATAAAGGGAGGGCAGCTGCTGTGGTTGAATGGGCAGCAACTCACTGGACTTGCAATCCAATGGTCGCCGGTTCGATTCGATCTTGAAACAGTGAGCAAGTTTGTTCAATCATCGCCCTACACTGTCTCGGTCAACCCAGTAGCATAAATTGGCTCGCCACATTTGCGTTGATCGGCGGGTCGTGTGTGGTCGCGTAAAGTGCCGGTACGCCCACCGCTTCCAGCATGTCTGGTCAACGTGGAAGAGTAGACCAAATACCCTGCAGCATTCACTCAAATGGAGGCCCTTCTGCCAACAGTGGCGTGAACATGCACTTGCAGGGCTGCACCATAGATATTTTTAATATGAATGGCAAGTGCAGATAATCTGAAACCGGAATTTAATTCCTAGTCATGTTACACATCGGTGGCGAAAGATATTTCAACCTACGCTGGGCCCCACTTCACAAAACCACACTGACCAGCATGGTCAAGTATGGTCAAATTGCCAGCATTGGTCAAATTGCCAGCATTGAGTTACATGGCGTGGCTAGGCCTTTATCTAGCAGCGCGTTTACCATTGGGACGCAAATACTGTAAGTTAAATTGTCATGATTGTCGGAAGGGTGGAGATTGGTGGCAGTTATGCGACGAGTTTGTCTGCATTGATATAATTGGATTACATTAACTGACACTGCAAAGCACGAATGTTTCTATCAGGATACTCGACTTCTGTTGAGACTCCTATTGCTCTCATTACAGTTTTTGAAACAGCCTAATTGGCCAGCAGAGTCACAACACGTGATATTTACTTCACATTTATACATAACATTTAAACGCGCCCATACAAAATTGAGGTCACAGTGTCTCTATGCTCAAATGAGAATGAGGCAGAGCTCACATACATTAATGACCTCAATACGGTGGTGGAAATTCCACATTCCTATGATGGGAGCCAGTCTCGCCATATAGTATTTTTCCTGTACAGAGGCTGGCCCCTGCCATTGGAATGTGGAATTCCACAACTGGCCCAGGACTGCCAATGGAGATGTGCTTCGCTCGTTTGAGCATGGGGTCACTCATCTTCTTGGTTCTTTCGGTAAAGTCACGTAGAAGGGAAATAATAAAATAATACAAATAAAACATAATTAAATAATTCTCACGACGTTTCGGCCACAACGCAAGCAGCCGTCCTCAGGTGAAGAACCGGTTTGTCGGAAAGACACTGTCTAAAAATGAGAATTATTTATTAAGTTTTATTTTTATTATTTTATTATTTCCCTTCTACGTGACTTTACCGAAAGAACCAAGAAGATGAATCCCTGCAGTCACGAAAGCTTTAAATCGAAACATGGGGTCACTCTCAATTTTTTAAGGATTTATTAGTTAAATTATTTAACCAAAGATAGAAATTGACCAACCCTTGGTAATTAACATCTTCAACGCAGTGCTGTGTTTGTGTCGATAGTCCACCCGTTAACGTTTTAAAATATTAAACCATTGCGTACCTGCATGCAGCTGCAGTACATCGATACTCATGTAGGACAATTTCCGTGTCTTTTTGTGAGGGCCATTGCCCAAAACGTCACCTCTGCTATGCGTTTCCTCTTAAGGCCACGGCATTATTGAACGCGTTGAGTTTTTATTTTAGTCATTTGTCCTCGTGCGCCGCTGCCTCGCTGCAGCGTCACCGCGTAATTTGCCAATTTCCGTGAGGCTGCACACACCGTGAGTCGACTACACGGGGTGAATTCCTTGTGGCTGCACTGACTATGCCTCTGCTCGTTAGATATTTCTCGTGTGGCTTTCATTACAGGCGCTGCCCTGTTAACCACGGTGACGAGGTGTTAACTACCTCGCCTGGTATAGATGAGGTCATGGGTTCGATCCTTACCCTGACGCCTGTGTATTTGGAGTTTGCATGTTCTCCCCGTGGTCGCGTGGATTTTTCTCCGGGTCCTCTGGTGTTTCCCTACACGTTTATAAACATGCGTCTAGAGTATTTGGCTGCTATAAATTTCCACATGATAAGCCACTTTGTTGAGCTTTCATTTGTGTGCAGGTCTCTTCTGTAAAAGAACAAAATCGCTCAGTGGGCCTCAGCTGGTAAATGTTTTTTTTAGTGTATTATTAGCTGTAAACCATCGTAATGTGCGATAATGGCACGTGCCACTTTCGGTTGTCTGCATGGTTCACCCTTTCACGTGGACCAATCAGGGTAGAGGTTAATCGGACTGTTGATGATAAACATAAGGAAAAGTATTTTTTCCTGCTCGAAAGAAAGTGGGGTACTTTTGCGCTCCGAAGACAATTTGTAGACATTCCACATTAATGTGACAGTGGCTTGTCACTGCAGAGGGTAATCACTTTTTTATTTGCCACCAAGTGATACCTATTTTATCGACATGAGGATGATGATGGGCTGGCATTTAAACTCGCAAGCTTCCATTTGCAAGTCACAGCCTCCAACCATAGTGTTAATCAGCGGGTTACGAGTATAATAATTAAAACAGTGATCATTGTTTTACCATAAAAAGCCCTATTTAATATTAAAACTCTTTTTTGAAGATGGTCTTGTTTCAGATGTTTTGCTAGCTTATTACTTAGTCTTCCATTCTGTGGAAAGAATCGTCAGTGCTTACTGAAAACCTATGTGTGTGTGATAATGTCTCAAACATTGGCAGAGATAGATGCGCAACCTACTTGCTGTTCTGCCCTTCTACAGGCACAACGCCCCGTTGCTCCTGCAGGTTAGGAATCTCACAAGCATTCGAATATATGCATGATCCCCCAAACCCCACCTCCAACTAGAGTAGCTGGATTATCTGGGCATGCGTGCATGGCCACCAAAACTGGCACACCGGGCTTGGACAAATGGCAATACGATCTGGGGATTGGAGGCAATTGGTGGACTCTGTAGGTTGGGACAGAGCCCAAGCTAGAGCACCAATGCGTTTGTGTGATTGTGTAAAGCATTACGCAGGGCGCATGTGGTTTGACGTGCAAAACAAATAGCAACGCCAGCCATGTATGGCGCCTGTCCTGTTTAAAATTGCCAAACTAACACGACCCCGTGGGCTGATGGTCTAATGCAGGGGAGACAGTGTGTCCTGTTCTC